CAATGCTAAGCTCCCAGTATCTTTGTAAGTACTCATAAAATGTTTTACATAAGTCTTGATACAGACTGCATAGCAAAATTTAGGATTAGGATATTGTTTACCTTTGGAAAATATTTTGAAAAGTTTCTTTCACCAAAGTCATGCGACTTGCTAGAATTTAAAACACATATCTCATTATAATAAAAACCTGTGAAACTAAGCACAAAAATATACAAACATACAAACCAAAATTTGAAAGCAGGCTATTTAGAATAAAGATAAAAAATTATTTTAAAGTGATAGCATCAAGCTTATCAGCACTTAAGAAATAATATCAATAGCACAAACACCATTTAAAATTTGTTGTAAAAATAATCTAGCACTCAAACACTGATTCAGGTCATCAAATATAATAAAATTTTAATCTAAGTTTCCTCGTACAAGTTCCAGTAGATCAGTGGAGGTCACCTTAACACATTATTTGCTATCATAAGGTGCCTTTGAGTTAGCTCTGACTCATACTCAATTTTTTTTACACTTGAAAAATAATGTATAACACTGAAAGCATTGAAATATTCATTATTTATTCAAAGTAAAAAATAACTGTGTATAAATAGGTATGTAAAATTCACATAGAAAATTCAATATATACATCTGTATGGCTTTATCTGTGTCTCAAAAAATAAATGCCATTTGTTTAAGGTATTATTCTTGATATCATGTAATTAATTATCTTTCCTTTTGTTTTCTAATATCATTTTCCTTTGAAATCTAAATTCTAGTTTTGGGGTTGCAGTGCAGCTCTTTCCACTAGGCCACCAGAGTTCCCTATAAATTCTAATGTCTAATGTATTAAAGGAGGCAGAATTAGTGGCAACTATGTTAATAAGTCAGGATTTAATCTTAAAGATTCTATTTTCTTTTGAGTCAATCTCATCTGAGATATGAGAGATTAAACAAGAGATTGATGGGACATATGTGTCACTATTAAAAAGATGGTAAAGAGACACTGGCATTTATACTACAATATGTTGTTGTTGTTGTTGATTGCCATCGAGTTGAGAATGACTCATAGTGACCCTATGAACAAGAGTCCTGTAGCTTTTCTATAATGATCAACATTTTTCAAGGTTCTTAGAGTTTACAGAGGCATATTGTTTAGGAGTGGATGACTCCTGTTTCAAAATACTAGAATATAGAGGGGCCAAAACCAAGAACAGAAATACTGAAGAGAAATGAACAGAAGATTTCAAACGGTGTCTCAAGAAGATAAAGCAAAGTTTTATAATGAAATATGTAAAAGAGGTAGAGTTAGAAAACCCAAAGGAAAAAGCTGAAGAACAAATTCAAGCCTTAAATTGAAATTCTGAAATATTCCATGTACAAAATTTTGAATGAGGTAAGGAGCATCAAAGTAAGATGACAGTCACTGTAAAAAAAAAAATCAACACTGAAATATTTTAGCAAATAACCTAACAGAATGTAGAAAAAATATCACTGTTAGGGACATTTCCAAAGTACTGAAGAGCAGTGGTGTCTCTCTGGAGACTAAGGTGCGTCTGATCAGGCCATGGTCTTTCCAATCACTTGTTATGCATCAGAGAGTTGGACAATGACTAGGGTGGATAAAAGGAAAATTGATGCCTTTGACCTGTGGTGATGGAGAAGAGTATTGAATATATCATGGACTGCCAAGAAAACAAACAGATTCATCCTAGAGAGGGTTAAACTGGGTGGCTCCTTGGAGGCAAGGATTCTGAGGCTCCCTCTAACATACTTTGGACATGTTGTTAGAAGGGACTGGTCCTTGGAGAGGGACATTATGCATGTGAGGGTGGAGAGATGGCACAGGAGGGGAAGTCCCTCTATGAGGTGGATTGACTTAGTGACTGGGGTAATGAGGATGGGTGTATCAGATACAGTGCAATTGGCACAGGACAGAGTAGAATTTAGGGCTGTTATGAGTCACAAGTGACTCGATGACACATAACAAGAACAATAACTTCATTAACATCACACTCTAGAAAAATCCTGCTGAAGATTATCCACAAAAGACTTGAGCAGAACAGCAGAGGGTACCGGAAAAATGTCTATCTGTGTTTCATTGACTGTGCAAACAAATTTGACTATGTGGGTCACAATAAATTGTGGCTAACCTTGAGGTAAATGGGAATCTCAGAACACTGTGCTTATAAGAAACCTATCTTTGCACCAAGAAGCAGTCCTCAGAATAGAGCAAAAAAACACTGCGTGATTCAAAATCAGGAAAGGAATGTGTCAGGAATGCATTCAGTCCCCACACCTTTTCAATCTGTATGCAGAACAGATTATTCGGGAGGCAGGGCTTTATGGGGAGGAGTGTGGCATCAAAATTGGAGGAAGATTCATGAACAACCTATGATATGCAGATGACACAATATTGCTTGCTGAAACTGAAGAAGAACTGAAATCCTTGCTGCAAAAGGTCAAGGACTGTAGTCTTCAATATGGATTGAAGCTCAACATCAAGAAGACAAAGATTCTCACCACTGGGCCAATTGGCAGCAACATAATAGATGGAGAAGAGATTGAGGTTGTTAGCAATTACAGCTTGCTCTGATCCACAATCAACACTCTTAACACCAGCAGTCAGGAAATCAAAATACAAATTGCTTTGGGAAAATCTGCTGTCATGGACCTCTCCAGAGTGTTAAAGAGCAATTAAGTCAGTCTAGAGACATAGGTGTGCCTAATCTGAGCCATGGTTTTCTCAATTACTTCTTATATTTCAGAGAGTTGGACAATGATTAAGGATGACAGAAGAAGAATAGATGTCTTCTAGTGATGGTGTTGAAAAAGAGTCTTGACCATACCATGAACTATAAGAAAACAAATAGGTGTGTCTTGGAGAGGGTGAAAGCAAGTCTTTCCTTGAAGGTTAGGATTTTGAAGCTCTGCCTCACTTACTTTGGGCACATGGCCAGGAGAGATCAGTCCTTGGAGAATGACATGATGTCCAGAAGTGTGGACAGACAGCACAGTAGAGAAAGACCATGGATGAGATGAATTGATACAGCAACTGGGGCAATGGGGGTTGGTATTTCAGTATTAGTGAGACTAGTTTAGGACAGGGAAGACTTCAGGGCTGCTATACATAGGGTCTCTATGCATCGCAGGCAACTTAATGGCACATAACAAAAATAACGTACTATGACAGGTTTGGAAGCAGAAGTGGTATCCAATTCCTAAACAATATGCCTCCAGAAAAACTATGAACTTTGATAAAATTTGATAGTTGTAGGGGGGGTTTCATGCCTTTTATTGCTAGGGTCGCAATGAGTTGTGGTCGACTTGAAGGCAATCAAACAACATAAACTCAAGAACCAACGATAATTAATAAAGGAAGAAGTTCAAGTTGCACAAAGTCATTGGCATAAACTAAGATACCAAAAGTTGGTAGAATACCAATTGAGATGTTTCAGGAAGCAGATAAAATCCTGTATGTGCTAACTAGTCTACACCAAGAAATTGAGAGAGCAGCCTCCTGGCTATCTGACTGGAATAGATCCATACTGGTTCCCATTCTAAAACATTATGATACAACAGAGTATGAAAATTATCAAACAATATCATTGATACCACATGCAAGCAAAATCTTGTTGAAGATTATTTTTTTAAATGGCTGCAACAAAATATTAGCAGTGAACTTCCAGAAATCCAAGCTAGATTAGGAAGAAGCCTTAGACTGAGGATCATTGTTGATATCAGATGGATCTTCGATGAAAGCAGAGAATGCAGAAAGATGTTTACTTTTTTTGTTTGGCTGAAAGCAGAGAATATCAGAAAGATGTGTACTTAATTTTATTGACTGTGCAAAGGTACTTGATTGAGAAGATAATAAAAACTAAATATGGTTAACATTGAGAAGAATGGAGGTCTCAGCATTCTTGGGTTCACACAAAACCTATATATGAACCAAGAAGTTGTTGTTGCAACAGACTAAGGGAACATTCCATCGTTTAAAATTAACAAAGATGTGCTTTATGGTTGTATCTTTTCTCCATAGTTGTTCAATATATATGCTGAGTAAATCATCTGAGAACCTGGAAGAAGAATGAAGAATATGGCTTTGTGATTGGAGGAGGCCTCATCAAAATTGTGCAGATGGCATAATCTTGCTAACAGAAAGCAGACTTGCTACGGGAGACCAAAGACTTGAGCTTCCAATCTGTATTATATCTCAACACCAAGAGAAAGTGCAGCAAGGGTGCTCTTTGGAGTCAAAGATTGGAGAAGCTCCATCTCATGTAATTTGAGCAAGTTAATTGGAGGGGCAACTCCTTGAAAAAAGACATCCTGCGTGGAAAGGTGAATGGAAAGGATGACCCTCAATGAGATGGTTAAACACAGTGACTGTAACAATGGGCTGAAATTTACCAGAGGTAATGAGGATGGTCATAGAAAGTAAGAACCTGAACATGATGGATTAACACAATAATTATATCAAGAACTCAAATGTATCATGATGATGGAGATTGCACAAGATAGAGTGTGATTCAGATCCTAGGGTTACTATTAGTCTATTAATCTCAACAACACATAACAACAACAACATACATATGTTGTCATATACATGTTGCTGTTGCTGTTGTGTTCCATAATGTCAAAACTGACTCACAGCTGACCCTTCAGAGTATGTAAATTGCACAGGAGAGTGCCCATCTTTCTCTCAAGAAGCAGCTAGTGGACTCAACCTCAGACTGATAGCACCACTCCTTACCACTAGGCCACCAGAGTACCATGCTAAAGTATAGTTTTACACATTTATTTAAGTATACACACACCCACATCACACACATATTTGTGTATCTACAAATGGGGTTCTGGTGACTTCGTGGTAAAGAATTATGAGAAGTACACTATTGTGAGAATTTAGCACCACATTCCCTCCACACACAGATTTTGGACATGTTCCCATTTTATTAAAGTGTTCCATTCTTTTTTTCCACATGATTATTCAAAGTTACAGTCATCCTACTTACCAATTCTTTGGTTGAGCTGGGCTGGACTGTAAGTACCAGTGAGGTTTGAGGAACTAGAAAAAGCCATTGGAGAGAGCAAGGATGCTATTGGGTCTTCACAGTTGTCTAACAGAAAGAGAGAGAGAGAGAGAGAGAAAACACAAGATTCTGTTAGCACAAGAACCAAGAACTTAGGAAAAGAATTAATTATATTAATTCCTTGCACTGATTAACTCCTTTCTCTGAACAAAGTAATGTATTACGGATTTACATATGTATTTAATATATTGCTCATAACAATCTTAATGAGAGGTTTAACCTCCTTTCACAGAATGAGAAATTGAGGTTGAGAGCTATAGTAGATTGTTAACAATTACATTTAGAAAGTAGAGTAGTCAGAATTCTTATTTATGTTTTTCTACAGTAGATGACTATCTGTGCACTCATTCCACTGTTTACAAAAAAATTTAATTTACTATATAATAAACTTATTCCATTAAAAATGCATTAAAAAATAAATAAAAATGCATTTTTTATACAAAAAAGGTAGTAGGCATCTCACTCCCTGATTTAAAATCCTACTACACTGCAGTGGTAGTCAAGACAGCATGGTACTGGAACAATGACAGACACATAGATCAATGGAACAGAATTGAGAACCTGGAAATCAGCCCATCTATTTATGGTCAATCACTCGGGATGGGTGTATCAGAGGCAATGAGATTGGCATGGGATAGAGCACGGTTTAGGGCTGTTGTACATAGGGTTGCTATGAGTTGCAAACGACTCGACGGCACATAACAACAACAACAACAACAATTTATGGTCAACTGATTTTTGACAAGGAGATCAAATTAGTTAGGTGGGGAAATGACAGCCTTTTTAACAAATGGTGTTGGCAAAATTGGAAATCTATCTGCAGAAGAATTAAACAAGATCCCCACCTCACTCCATATAAAAAAACCAACTCAAGATGGATCATGGACCTAGGACTAAAACCAAGGACTATAAACTTCATTCAAGAAAAGCTTGGAAGAACTTTAGTAGTCCAAATCCACAACATAAAGAGTCTTCCAAGTATTCTGAAAAATTTACAACCAGAAGAATATAAAATAGATGAATGGGACCTTCTAAGAATCAAATCCCTATGTGCATCCAGAAACTTCCCTAACAGGGTAAAAAGGGAAGCCACAGAATGGGAAAAAGTGTTTGGTAATGACATGTCAGATAAAGGACTTATATCTAGAATTTATAAAATACTTGAGCACCATAACAAGATAAAGGAGAATAATCCAATTGAAAAAATGGGCACAAGATATGAACAGACACTTCACCAAGGAAGACATTCAGATGGCCAACAAGCACATGAAGAAATGTTCAAAATCCCTAGCTCTGAGAGAGATGCAAATCAAGACAACTATGAGATATCATCTCACCCCAGTAAGACTAGCAAAATTTAACAGAACAGCAAGCAACAAATGCTGGCGGTTGTGGAGAGACTGGAACCCTTATTCACTGTTGGTGGGAGTGTAAAACGGTGCAACCACTGTGAAAAGCGATGTGGTGCTTTCTCAAAAAGTTGCAAATAGAGATACCATTTGACCCAGCAATTCCATTCCTGGGAATATACCCTAAAGAGACCATAAATGGCATCCAAGTAGATATATACCTACCCATGTTTATTGCGGCTTTGTTTACAATAGCAAGGAGTTGGAAACAACCTAAATGCCCATCAACAAACGAATGGGTAGAGAAGCTGTGGTATATTCGCACAATGGGATATTATGCTGCATTGAAAAACAAGGAACTCATGCAATATTATTCAAAATGGGTGATCCTGGAGGGCATTATGCTGTGTGAGTTATCTCAGTCAAAAAGGGACAAATGCTATATGGTGCCACTGTTGTAGAATGAGGCTGATATCGGGGTGGGGTTAAGACTGAGAAAAACTGGACGAAATATGTTTATGGAATTGAAGTTTATGGGGGAGAGAATAGTTTAAAAGTATTATATTTTAGGGCATTATGTTTTTTGTAAGAGTACGGAATGAGGGTTGCAGAGTGGATTATATTTGGGGTTGGGGGTAGGATTGGGGGAGGTGAGGGGGGATTGTGTACCAATGAGGGAGTTTTTCTTTTGCTTTTCAAGGAGAGGAGCAAAGGGGGTGGGGTGGATGGGGAGAAGGGTGCAACAATGAATGAATGGAATTCCAAAATCTCTGTAGATGTTCATTGACATGAAAAATAAATAAATACATACATACATGCATACATACATACATACATACATACATACATACATACATACATACATAAAAAGAGAGAGACCCTCAATGAGTTGGATTGACCCAGTAATGGCAACAACAGGACAAATATAACAATTTAACAATCGTGAGAATGGTAATGTTCTGCTCTTTTGCTATGAGGTCACTAGGAATTGGAACCAACTTCTGGGAATCTAATAACATTTCCTTCAGCGGGAATTTGGTGGCGAGTACCATGGAGCCAATTTTCAACTCATAGCAGCTCTCCCCACAGAAAGACTACCTACCACTGCCTCCTCTGAGTTCCCAAAGCTGTAACTTTCATGGGAGCAGGTGATGAGCCTGCTGAGTTGTTTAGACAACCACTTTCTGGTTAGCAGCTCAGCACTTAATAATTTCCATCATCAAACAACAAATGCTGGTGAGGTTGTGAAGAAATTGGAACCCTCATTCATTGTTGGTACGAGTATAAAATGGTGCAACCACTCTGGAAGGCAGTATGGCACTTTCTCAGAAAGTTGGAAGTAGAAATACCATTTGCCACAGCAATTCCACTATAGGGAATATACCCCAAAAGAAACCAGAACTTCCACCGAAACAGATATATGCACACCCATGTTTATTGCTGCTTTGTTCACAATAGCAGATGGAAGCAACCCAAATGCCCATTAACAAATGAATGGATAGAGAAGCTGTGGTATATTCACACAATGGAATACTATGTAGCACTGAAAAACAAGGACCTCATGAAATATTATACAAAATGGATGACCCTGGAGGATATTATGCTGAGTGAAATACCTCGGTCACAAAATGACAAATACTGCATAATGCCATGGTTATAAAATAGGACTGACATGGGAGTTGGGAGGGAACTAAGCTAAAAGAGGGGATAAATAATAAACACTGCACTGAAGGAAGACCTGTTTAAAGGGAACTTATGATTAGGCATTATTTGTATGACAACAGTTCAGGATAAGAAGGGCATACCAAAGTGGACTGGGGTGGGAAGAGGGAGGAAATTATGCAACAATGAGTGAATTTTTTTTTTAAAGTGAACTGGGGGAATGTATGGAGGAAACTGTGCAATAATGAATGAATGGAAATCCAAGTTTTCTGTAAACTTTCATTAAAATCACAATAAAAAATTATTTTTAAAATGCATTTTTTAAATTTATTTATTATAGGTGACAAAATGTTCAACAATTGACCTATCTTTAGTTCCTACAAAATAATTACTATTGTCTAGTTGTCTCTGATTCATAAAGACCCTCCATTAGATTTTCAAAAATGTACATCTTTATGAGAGGAGACTACTCATCTTTCTTGCTTGGAGTGGTTGGTGGATTTGAACTACTGACCTCAGCACAACATGTAGAACACAGTACCACCAGAACACCTATAGTAATTATCTGGAGAGATAAAATAATTTGTAATGTTTCATTCCCAGATGCTTTTAAAAACAAGTTATTATTAGTAAATGTCCATTTCTATTCCTGGAAAATGTGTAATTATAATTCAGTTCTATTAACTTAAGTAATAGAAAATAGTCTTAAAGTCTTGAATCTGATAATTGCTGCAGTGGCTTTTACTGAAGTTTCCATCCCCTTTTGGGGACTTTTCTAAATCTTGTAGGAGGCTTTGGTCACATAGTTAATTCAGTGTTACACTTCTAACCTAAAGGTTCTCAAAAACACCAGACACTCCTCCGGCCAAAGATGAGCACTCTCCTCCAGTATAATGCCTTGGAAAACCACTAGAGGGTCAACTATGAGTTGGAACTTATATGATGGCTAAAAGAGGAGAGAAACGAGGTAAACATACTTTCTTTGTTTTAATTTCTTTTAAATATACTTTCTAAGGCTTTGCAATGTCAAGATGTGGGATAGATTGGATCACAGCAAAAATGCTGCTGCTTTTGACAACAGATATGTCCCTTATGTGACACAGATGCCCTGAATTTTTAAACTCATAGAGAAGTCCTTGATTGTCACAGCAAATATAGAATATTGTTAACTTGTTATTGAGTTGTCTTCACTTGTGAGGACCCCATATAAAACTGAACAGAACTCTATTCTGCCCTGACTCATCCCTATATTGTTATGGTTACACTACTGATTATTAACTGTACTAAATGACTCTCCAGTGGGTTTTCAGAGGTAGTAACTTACATGTATAGGATTGCCCATCTTTCTACTGTGGAGCAGCTGTTGGATTCAAATTGCCTATCTTTGGGAGGGCAATGCAGTTCCTTTACCACTGAGCTCCCAGAGCACTTCACCGCTATATTGTTGTTCTTGTTGTTGTTATGTGCTGTCAAGTCGCTTGCGACTCATAGCGACCCTATGCACAACAGCCCTAAACTCTGCTCTGTCTTGTGCCAATCACACTGTCTCTGACACTCCCATCCTGATAGCCCAGTCACTGAATCAATCCACCTCATAGAGGGCCTTCCCCTCCTGCACTGTTCCTCCACCCTACCAAGCATGATGTCCTTCTCCAAGGACTGGTCTCTTCTTACAACATGCCCAAAGTATGTTAGACAGAGCCTCAGAATCCTTGCCTCCAAGGAGCCTCCTAGTTTAACCCTTTCTAGGATGAATCTGTTTGTTTTCCTATCAGTCCATGGTACTTTCAATACTCTTCTCCAGCACCACAGCTCAAAGGCATCAATTATCCTTCTGTCCTCCTTGGTCATTGTCCAACTCTCTGATGCATAACAAGTGATTGCAAAGACCATGGCCTGTATCAGAGGCACCTTAGTCTCCAGAGACACCATTGCTCTTCAGTTCTTTGGAGAGGTCCCTAACAGCAGACTTTCCCATGGCAATGCGCCTTTTAATTTCCTGGCTGCTGGTGCCAA